GGAGCAAACGTGTTCAGCTCTGTAAGCCTTCTAGTCCTAGTTGCAAGTACCCAGCACTGCCCGTGAGGAGGTGGAAGCCGCCACAGAGGATGGGGACACATAGTGATCGTCCCTATGTCCCAACAAATCTTGACTGCTAGACGCAGCTGGTGGACTGGGGTCGTCCCGCGGGCTCTTGTTTGCCGGCCTCTGCTCCTGAAGGTCTGAACGATGCCGTTTACAGACCAGGAGTAATCATTATATATATAGCAGCAGAGCCACGCATGAGCAAGTACCCATGCTTTACAAGGTCGCTTATGACGTTTGCAATAAGGACTGAAATTATTTAGAGTTCCTTCTCTGTTACGGTGGAATTAAACTAGAAATCATGACTCAGAAGAGAACTGGGAAATCCTCCACTTCTTAGGAATTACTACCAGTAACCAAAAGAGAAGCCACAACAGAAATGAGAAAATACTGAGGTCTCAACGATTAGAAAGCTATGACATGGGAAAACGAGTGGAGAGCAGCTAAAGCGGTGCCGAGAGCCAAATAGGGAACACTCCCGGCATCTAGTAGAGGAGATAAAGGGGGAAAAGGCCCTAGGCTTCCACTCAGGAAGGTAGGAGGAGAATAGGAAATCCACCCAAAGCAATAGGAAGGAAATGTAAAGAGGATAGCAGAAATCCTTGAAGTAGGAAGACAAAAACAACACAAACCAGATAAAATCCCCACAAAGCCAATAGCTGGTTCTTTAGACGGATTCATAGTATTGGTAAAACAGTAGGAGAAATCAAAGAGAGAAACATAAAATTCATAATTTCATTATCAGAAATGAAAAGGGAGGCATCCCTGAGACCGTACAGACCTTGTATAGATAATAAGAGCCACTATGAATAGCCTTCTTGTGATCAATCTGAGCTGTGCGATGAACAGTACCTTGAAAAACGCATTTTAACTACATCTGACCCACAATGACATCGTAAAGCCGAAGTGTCCCGACTCATTTCTGGAAAACCTACCCAAATAGAGAGTACTTTTCTGGCAAATTCCCCACTAGCTTTAAGGGAGAAATCAGCCCAATCTTACACAAACGCTTCCAGAGAAAAACAAGGAGGATTGCTCCCCAACACATTCCCCCTGCCTGATGACAGCCTCACCCCAACCCAAAAGCCCAGCAAAGACATCAGAAGAATGGAAATCACAAATGATCCTCTCTTATGGCTAGAGATTTAAAAATACTACCCAAATTGGAATAGAATCCTACTGTCGATAAGTTATGCCCCACCCAATGTGATGCAGTATCCTGCATGGGGTCGTGGAACAGGAAAAGAATGTTAAGGAAAAGTGAACGAAATCTGAATAAAGTGTGGAGTTGAGTTAATAAGACTTTATCGGCGGTCATTCATTGTGTTTGACAGATGTGCCATAGGACAGTAAGTAATGAGAGACTAGAGGGGATTGGGTGTGAGGTGTGTAGAACACACACACACACAATCAGGCAATGGCCTGGATACAAGGTCAGTACTCCAAAATCAGTTCAAAAAAAATCACTTGTATTTTTATGCAACAACAAATTCAAAATGAAATTTTCAAGAAACCCGTAGCATTTTAAAAAGCACCGCAATACCCAGAAAGAAATGCAAGCAGATCTCTCCAAGATTTCCACATCGAAACAGCAAAAATGCAATTGAAATGGAAGATTAAATAAACGGATACACCAGGCTTATGGATGGTGAAACCTGGTAGGGGTAAGGTGGCTGTTCTCCCCAAATTAATCGAAAACTTCCATGATATTCCAGTCAGAGTCTCAGCAGGTCAATGTGTGTGAGTGTGTGTGTGTCTGCATGTGCGCCCGCACATTTGCGAGTGGGTGTGCACGTTGATTCCAAATATCCGAAAGTTTATGGAAATATGAAGGGCTGGGAATGTCCAAGGCAATCGTGTGGAAGAGGAGAAAAGCTGGAGGACTTGCACTCTTAACTCTCAAGATTATATCATTTCGTCAGTCATTTTGACAGTCTGATGTTGGTGTCATGGTTGAAAACTAGACCTGTCGAGGAGAAAAGAGATCTCACAGGTGTCTAGTTACGTGCTTTCTGACAAGGTTGGCCCTGCAGGGATTGGGGAAAGATGCTTGTCTGTACTCACCACTGGTGGGTAGATGAGATCTTATTTGCTGTATTTACTTTACACAAAAGAAGCAGCTTCAGGTGCCTTGTGGATCTCCATATAAATACTAAAAGAGCCAGGGGCTACTAGGTATTTATCCAAAGAACACAAATATAGTGATTTGAAGGGGCACATGCACCCCAATGTTTATAGCAGCAGTGTCCACAATACCCAAAATATGGAAAGCGCCCAGATGTGGATCGACAAGATGAACGGATAAAGAAGATGTGGTCTCTATATACAATGGAATATTACTCAGCCACCGAAAGAATGAAATCTTGCCAATTGCAACGACGTGGATGTAATTAGAGGGTATTAACCAAGTGAAATAAGTCAGAGAAAGACAATACCATATGATCTCACTCATACGTGGAATTTAAGAAACAAAACAGGTGAATGTAGGGGAAGAGAAGGGAACATAAAATAAGATGAAAGCAGAGAGGGAAGCAAACCATAAAAGACTCTAACTGTAGGAAAGAAGCTGAAGGTTGCTTAATGGGAAGTGGGTGGGGGATGGGGTAACTGGGAGACGGGCATTAAGGAGGGCACTTGCTATGATGAGCACTGGGTGCTGTATGCTACTGATGAAGAATTAAATTCCACCTCTACAACTAATCATACACTACGTTACCTATATTGAATTTAAGTAAAATTTTTAAAAACGTTAGTTGAAAGATGCCTTCTAGTGGTGCCTGGTTGGCTCCAATCAGTTAAACTTCTGCATTCGGCTCAGGTCATGACCCCAGCGTTCTGGGATTGAACCCCTCATCGGGCTCCCTGCTCGGCAGGGGAGTCTGCTTCTCCCTCTCCCTCTGCCTCTCCCCCAGCTTGTGTGTGCAATCATTCTCTCTCTCATTCACTCTCTCAAATAAAAAAATAAAATCTTTTTCAAAAGATGCTTTCTAAAATAAATTTAAAAAAAGAACAAGGGTTTTTTTTTTTTAAAGAGAAATGTGGAAGAATATCTTTGTATTATAGGATAATTATGAATTTAAGAAAACCGAACAGTATAGTGCCGGTTACGTGTGGGAAAAGTGGCAAATGGAATTACATAAAAATTCACAACTCCTAGCCACGAGAAGATATGGAAAGACTGTGAAAACGATGCCACAGATGAAGAGAAAGCCCGTCAAAACATTGTCTGTGCAGGAGCTTGTGTTCAGTATATAGAATGAACTTCATCCTATGAATGAACAATTGAACAAGCAGATCATTGGGTAGAAATTCGAGCAAAAAGGCTTGAAGGCTGTTTACGAGAAAATGATATCCAAATGGGTAATAAATCTACAAAAAGATGCTCAACATCATTGTTTTTGTTGGAAACGCAATTCAAAACCATGATACGGTAACCCCCAAAAATGATTAAACATTCACAAATGACCACTCGTGTGGTGGCAGGATTTCAAAGTGTACATGATCCTTTGGAGTGTAAATAGGTACAACTGTTCTGGAAAACTCTTCAGCAGCATCTGCTAAAGCCATATACATGCATCGTAAAGACTCAGTGTTACCACCTATAAAGAACTCACACATGCTCACCTCAAGATGAGGACAAGAATATTCCTTGCAGCACTCTTTGGGGATAGACAAAAGCCAGAAACAATCCTAATGTCCATCAACCATCAACCGTGGAATATTCATCAGTGGAAAAGTATACAACTATGAGAGTAAACAATGTAGAACGGGGGCCATAGCAGGGGTGGAGAGAGAAAAACACAAAGTAGAGAAAACACAAAGTAGAGAAAAGAAGCCAGACACCAAAAGAAACAATGCAGGATTTCATAATCACAAAGTTCAACAACAGACAAAATTAACATAGAGGCTTTCAAATCAAGACACCTTTTATCTTTGGCCTTGGCTGCTTATAGTGCCTGATGGAGGGACAGAAGCAGGAAACAAGGGTTTTCATCCAGTTCTGTTTCTGGACCTTGATGTTGGTGATATGGTTATGAGCAGCACTTCATGAAAAGCCACTCGGCAGTCGACTTATGAATATGCCCTCTGCAGTACAGTACTCAACTTTCTAAAGTCCGTTACACGGCAAATAAAGAAAAGCAAGTGACTGGAGCCAGTTGTTCATTCCTTCTCTTTAACCCCAGAGCCATGAGTGGATACATCAACTGTGGCAAGTTCCAGGGAGAAAGCATGGTGTAAACACTGGGGTCACCAGGGGAACAGAACTCATGAATGAGAGCCGAGGAATTAAACTGAAGGACTCTCGAAGGAGACCTCAGATGGAGCCTTGCTCCAGTGGCATTTGTTGGCTGAGGCTATTGGGTGTGCCCACCAGGGAAGGTCATCACAGTAGTTGTGGGACCCTCCGTGGGACAGAGCGTCCAGTCTGTGCTGGGGAGCAGGTTGGCATTAAGCGTGCATCGACGTTTATATGTTGGGCCTGGAGCTGGGAACATCTGGCCAAGGGGCCACTCTAACTGCAGAAACTCAGGTGAGGGCCACACTTCCAGGGTCACTCCACTTCAGGGGCTGTGTGATCCTGTGGGACATAAGCAATTGTATTTATAGAGCCCTGGAATTCTTGGGACAAATAACGAACACGACATTTCATGTGTACAGCTATGTGCCAAGGTGCCATCCTACTATTTAGGGAGAGCCCGAGGCAGAGGCGAGGTGGCAGTGTAGACAGAAAAACATCTCCAGAAGTTGTTCAAGGAGGAACCAGACCCTCTAGTGGCCTTACTTGGACATTCTTTATCAGTGAAGAATTCTAGGCAACGTAGCATTTGCGGATGTAGAATGTGGGCATGGAGCTAGTTAGTACTGGGTGAAGTGTGCTTTGATATTTGCAAGTAGAAAACTGAAATCAATGATTTTCTTCTCTGTATCTCTAGGTTTGAATGTTCGGGAACTATACGTTTACAAGAACTGCACATCCAACTGCACTTTTTTATATCCATCCGAAACACCTCCTGAAGCCCCGAGAATCCTTAAAACTAATAGTTTTTATTTTGTTCATTGTTGTAATTCTATGACTTGCAATGAGGGAGGACCTACTAATTTCGAGAGGGATATCCTACCTGATTATACAATTGAGGAGGAGTTAGAGGGAACTGTGCGCCTGGGAGAGTCAACATTTTTCCTGAGCGTTGCCTCCATCCTAGTCAGCAATACACTGACATGAGAAGCCCTCTTGGAGGGCCTGATCTCTCCCCCCATTCCTCAGAGCAAGTTCACTCTCCTTTCCTCCCTTGTGAGCGGGGACCCTGACCCACACGCCTTCCAGTTGGCCGGTTACCCCTTTTCAGCTTATTTCAAGAGAGAAATAAAGAACATCATTGTTTGGGTACTGCTTACCCGGAGATTTCTTTGTGGTTTTAGCGTTTGATCTGTTCGTTCCTCTTTAGACATCATCTCAGAAGTAGACCAAAACCTCTTGCCACTTTAGCATACAGAGATCGAGTCTTCGAATGAAAAGCAGAACAGTTACAGGGGACAGTGCATGTGTCGGCTGAAAGAGCAGTCCCAGCTGTGCCCAGACCACAGGCAGCTGAGGCCACCTGAGGCTCCATGCTTCCGGTTTCAGGTCGGGACGATGGTCGCAGGAGGGTGCTTGGCGACAAGGTAGCACACAGACAATGAGCGCCTGACATTGGACACTGTGCCCGGTGCCTTTGTGTGGGTCAGACCAGTCGTGCATGAACCAGAGTCCTCCGTCAAAATGGCACCTGTCTTCACGCCGGCGAGAGGTTTCCTCAGCTGCTGACCTCTGAGAAGGGTAAGGGGCTGAGGGCCAGCTGGTGAGCGCCTTGAAATGGCAGGGGGACTCTTGGGCTGCTGCTGTCATTCTCATTGCACACAGGGTCCGGGTCAGAAAAGAGACGTGAAGGGAGCACGAGAGCTACACCTTCTTTTGCCCTGTCCTCTCCTCCTTCTTAAACTTGATTTTAAATTAGATAGAATCCACACAACAGAAAATTCGTCATTTCAAAGTGTGTAATTTGGTCTTTTTTACTATATTCACCATGCTGTGCAGCCATCACCACCGTCGAATTCCGGAACATTTTGCAGCCCAAAGGGAAATCCTGCTTCGACAAACAGCCAGTCACTCCAGGACCTGTCTTGCAAGGTAGGCAGATATTTCCGCAAGAAAGAGGAGAAGTGTTTGCAAACAGAGTGAGATTTCAGTGAGGCTGTGCCACACGTTGTCAGCCCCGTGCTCCTCCAGGAGCACCGTGACAGCGTGCGCCAGGGTGCTCAGATTATGACCAGTCAGGAGGCTGATACTGTTTCAGTCTTTCCTCTTCTAGAAACAAAAATAACCACAAACATGGAAAAAAGAATATGCATGCCTGAGCTGGACATCTTCAAAATCCGGAAACGAGTAGAATGACGGGCAAGGGAGCAGCCAGCCCAGCAGCCCCTGCGGGTCAGGGAGGGTCCGGTTCTATGGGGGAAAGGGTGCGAGGCATAGGACCCAAGCAGGATTAGAAGTTGCGATTGGAACCCCACTGAAGGCCGGACTTTTTTTTTTTTTTTAGGATTTTATTTATTTCAGAGCAAGAGAGAGCAGGAGCTGGGGGAGGGGCAGCGGCAGAGGGAGAGGCAGACTCCCCGCTGAGCAGGGAGCCCAGTGCAGGGCTCCATCCCAGGACCCTGGGATCAGGACCCAAGCCCGAGGCAGATACCTAACCGGCCCCCCAGGCGCCCCAGGGCAGGACTTTGAAAGACTCTGCCTGTATCAGGAGAAGAGAAGGAAGCTGAGTTCCCCAAGGCAGGGGGGTGAGGAGGAACACCCACCCGTTCCCGCCTGAGAACCAGGATAAACGCCCTCACGTTGGCTCAGGATTCTTGTCCCTCGCGTCTTCGGGGAACCCCCAGGCTGAGTAATGAACACAAAAGGTGGCCCTGGGCAGGGGGCCATGCTTGGCGGACTGGAAGGAGCCAGAGAATCGCTCAGGTGCAGCGCAGCCTCAGCCCAGGCCCCCTGCCCGAGGAACAGATGTCCCGGTTGTGGACGTCCGCGATGTTAAAGGCCAGGCTATTCCTGCACGGGGAGTCCTGACGAGGCCCTGGAACGAGGATCATCAAGCGGGGCCCCTCCAGATCACCTGGAGGATTTTCAGAAAGGGCCCAGTGGACGTCCGCAGCCAAGAGCCTCGGGGAATTCCAAGCAGGACACACGGAAAGGGACTTCCACAGAGCACTGGGCAGTGAGACTGCAGGAGCGCTGCGGACATACAGACGGTTTTGACCCCAAGACGCTTTACTGCGAGGTTGTTTCCAAGATGTGTGCGGTCACTCCCAACCCCACGTCCTTTGATGGGGGGGAAGAGGTGCGGGGAGGGCCCGAGGAGCGGGGTTCGCGTGGCGCCTCTGCCACGGATGAGCCGTGAGGCTGTGCAGCTGGAGGGATTCTCCGAGCCTCGGTTTCTCGGCCGGGGCCACACGGGTCAGCTCAGTGCTCCCCTGCCAGGGCTGCTGTGAAGTCCTGCCCTGGGGCGCCTGGGGGGCCAGTTAGGTATCTGCCTCGGGCTTGGGTCCTGATCCCAGGGTCCTGGGATGGAGCCCTGCATTGGTCTCCCTGCTCAGCGGGGAGTCTGCCTCTCCCTCTGCCGCTGCCCTTCCCCCAGCTCCTGCTCTCTCTTGCTCTGAAATACATAAAATCCTAAAAAAAAAAAAAAAAAAAGTCCTGCCCTTCAGTGGGGTTCCATTCGCAACTTCTAATCCTAATCTAAGAGGAGGGAACACGTGTACCCGCGGCACAGAGGGACACACACAGGCTCCCTCCAGGGGTGCGGCTTCCATTCCAGGCCTGCCTGCCATCTCGTGTCACCACAGAGCAGGGCCTCAAATAGAGAGGCAAGTTTTGAACGGTGGCAGAAGCAATCCACCTTCATCGAGCACCTGCTGAAACAGAGAGCTGGGCACCTTCCAGATGCCAACTGGCTGTGTCCTCCCCGGGGCCTGTGAGGTGGGAGTTCTCGAACACAATGCCCCCGGGAAGAACTCGAGGCTCAGAGGGATGAAGGGCTGGGCGTGATGGAAAGGCCGGGCCCTGGCTTGTGGCCATGTGCCCGCAGGGTCTGGAGCCCCTCTTCTCCGTGGCTCCACGGCCCCTTCAGCCGTTTCTGGCCGGAGCGGGGAGAAGCCAACGCTACTGGCAGCAGTCCTCCTCCACCACCGATCAGCCAGGAGGGTGCAAATCCTTTCCCTCCTCCAGGGAATCTGCACGGGAACATAGGCCCTAGGGGCACCTGGGCTTGGGCAGGGCTGGCTCAGCCAGGGTGCAGCCCCGCCTCCCTCCCTCCCTTGCTGTGAGCTCAGGGTCTGGTTAATGGGAAGTCAGCAAACACTTACCGGAATTAGGGTCTGTCTAGTTTTTCTCAAAAGCGAATAATAACATAAAGTGACATATAAAAAAAGTGGAGAGCAAGGTTCTGAGACATCCAGACTGAAAGTGATTGGCTGAGGAGACCAGCTTATGGAAGCTTATGGAAGACCAGTACTGATATAAGGCAGCCCGCGAAGACCTGGACAAGGGGAAGTAATGGGGTGCAGGAAGAAAGTAGTAGAGGTTTATTTGTATTTATTTTTATTTTTTAAAAAAGATTTATTTATCTACCTTAAAGAAAAAGGGGGTACATTGGGACGTGTAAAGGGAGAGAGACTCCCAAGCAGACTGCTTGCGGAGCATGTAGCCAAACAGGGTGGGGGGTCGATCTCAGGACCCCAAGATCACCACCTGAGCCGAAACTAAGAGTTGGATGTTCAACCGAGTGCGCCACCCAGGCACCTCTATTTATATGCATGTTTTAAAAAAGATTTTACTTATTTGTCAGAGAGAGAGAGAAAGAGCACTTACACAAGCAGGGGAGCAGCAGAAGAGAGAGAAAAAGGCCCCACGCTGAGCAGGGTGCCCAACAAGGGACTCAATCCCACAACCCTAGGGTCATGACCTGAGCCAAATGTAGACGGTTAATGGACTAAGCCACAGAGGCGCCCCTACCTGTATTCATTTTTAAGTGAAAAATGAAGCCTTAATATTTCACCTGTCCCGCGGAGAATAGTTTTACAAAAGAGCTACATAATTAGGGGTGTGGGCTTACCATATGTTCTGGAAGGAATGTGTGTGCTGTTAAATGGGAGACCATTGCTCTGTCACCTATTAATCACCCAAGAACTTCTGGCCACACGAAGCTGCCCCCAGCAAAGAGGCGTCTGGAGGCCCAGCACCATCCAGCAGTGGCGTGGTCAGGGCTCAGGAATTCAGAGGCAGCGTGGCAGCACTTCCGGAGGTCCCGCCCACGTTCCCGGAAATGTGTGGGGTGCAGAGTGGAGGCTTAGGGCTGGCGCTAGCCCCAGGCCGACTTCACGAGCTCCTAGGGAAAAGCGATTGGCACGATGACCTGACGATGAGGTGAAGCCAGAAGAGTGCCGTGCAGCCAGTGCTGAACCATGCTGCCCCTGGCAGGTGCACGGCGACGGCATGGGCGCCCAGGCCCTGGCCGGCGGCTCATCAAGAGCCCAGTGCTGAGTCCTGGGCCATGGCCTGGATGGGCAAGAGTCCCGTCCTCACAGAAGGATGTCGCGCGCTCTCATCAGAGAATACGGGTAAGAACCCTATGATCATCAACATTCACTTAACATGATTTTCTAGAGATTCCGGAATAGAAGAGAATTTCAATCATTTAATAAAAGTTACCTCCCTGATACCTAAAACAAACACCAAAACTCAGAATTCATAGAACCTTTCCGTTATTACCTCATAAATACCTGCTAAAATACTAAAATTTACAAAAGACAGAAGGAAACAAGATACAATGGATAAGTAGAAATAGACCACCAGGGGTGTCAAACACTGAAAACAATAGTTACAGGATACAAAGTAAATTTCTTTTATTAACATATAATGTATTATTTGTTTCAGGGGTACAGGTCTGTGATTCATCAGTCTTACACAATTCACAGCACTCACCATAGCACATACTCTCCCCAGTGTCCACCAACCAGCCACCCCATCACTCCCATGCCCCTCCACTCCAGCAACCCTCAGTTTGTTTCCTGAGATTAAGAGTCTCTTATGGTTTGTCCCCGTCTCTGGTTTTGTCTTGTTTCATTTTTTTCCTCTCTTCCCCTATGATCCTCTGTCTTGTTTCTCAAATTCCACATATCAGTGAGATCATATGATAATTGTCTTTCTCTGTTTGACTTATTTCGCTTAGCATAATACCCTCTAGTTCCTTCCACGTCGTTGCAAATGGGAAGATTTCTCTTTTTTTGTTGGCTGCATAATACTCCCGTGTGTGTGTGTGTGTGTGTGTGAGTATACCACCTCT